ATATTAATATTTACTGAAAGGTTGTCATCAGTACTAGTATCCATTCTTAACCAGGGGAAAGCTGAATGGTACAACGGTCATATCATTTTCTCTCTTCATCTTTCTGCTATATTCATGTTTGTTGGGGGGGGGGATCAAATCTTTGCTTTCATAACTGTTTTTCCAACAGGGTATAAGAAGTGGCGCAAAGATTGGCGATGTGGCCGAAAGTTTCCTTTAAAAGACGGCAGTCCTGCTGAATGTGACCCTGACGGTGGAACCCCATGCTGCTCCTCTGGCAACTGGTGCGGCAAAACTGCTGACCATTGCCACTGTCGGGGTTGTGTCGACTACAGGAAGAAGTCAGCTGCACGTCTGTACTCTTCATTATTTTTTACCTCCGGGGAAGGAGATATCCTTCCGCGAGGAGGTTTTAATATATATGGTTCGAAACATTTCTGTCAGCAGCTGTTTCTCGCGATCGGCTCGACGGATTTGTCTGGGGTTCGGTATACGTCTTGCTATTAGGCTGCAGATGATGCAGAACGTTTTTGTTTAATTGCATATGTGTTTATGGGCGTCGAAATAAAAGGTGTTTAAGTGCTCCGGACACCCCCGCCATGCTGGAAATGGTAATTACCATGTTGTTAAGGAATGGGGCGGTTGCAGTTTTGGGTCTTAGCATTCAAAAAGGGGTCAAACAGAGGGGTGTCTGGGTTTCCGGATAAAAATTTTGGGTGACGGCGCAGCAATGACGGCGCGGGATGACGGCGGGGGTAATGGCGCGGGTGACGGTGCAGGCTGTCAGACTGTCAGACACGTTAATCAACAGTCCATACCGAACCAACCGTCAGTAGCCATCAAACACATACAAACATATTACGCACATAACTTTCATACTACACACAAACAAATAACCTAAACCAATAGAACACAAAAAACCCGGAGGTTTGAAATCTACGATTTCCCTTGTTATTGATACTTTTATTGATACTTTTAGCTTAGGTATTACCAGCACAATCAAAATTATATATACTAGGAATAAAGCACCGACCACTCATTGATTATGATGGCATGGGCTTTTTTTTACAATGAGTAAGTACAGGCTTTGAGCAAATTGCAACAGCCCCTAGCGGTTTGTATGTGATCTGCAATGCATTCTGGCCTCGAAACAACCGGGTGTGGACGGGAAGTGTGTCCATGTCTGGCTGGTGTTCGGGAGTGGTTAAGACTGAAAGAGTGTTCGGAGGTAATATTTGACTAAAATTCAACTCAAATTCGATTCTTATCGAAAGGTAGGCGAGGCCTAAAATAAGTTTAGTCAGACTGCTCCCGAACTTCAGCGGATCTTCAAATGGTTGGCAGGTGTTGGCTGGTGGTCGGGGGAAGGTCCTGAATGTTTGGCAGTGGCTTTAATACAACATTATATGTTCTTTACATGCTGCATATGAGACATTTAATATCATATATATAATATCAGATATCCATCTAACACGCCGTACCATGTGTCAGAGGTGGAAAATAGCTGTTAACAAAACAGACATTCTTAGATCCTGTCTCTTTGAAGTCACATATGAGACAATTAACATTGTAATGCCAGATATTCATTTAAAAAAACGCCGTACCTTGTGTCAGAGGTGGAAATGGCTGTTGACAAAACAGATACTTCTAGATCCTGTCTCTTTGAAGTCACAGTCGTGAACATGATATGTTCTTTGTATGCTGCAAATGAGACATTTCATCATATTGTAATATCAGATATTCATCTAAAACTCCGTACCATGTGTCGGAGGTAGAAAGATGGCTGATGGCTGTTGACAAAGCAGACACTCCTAGATCCTGTCTCTTTGAAGTCACAGTCGTGCATGCATTCTCGTTGACTGTCAACGGCACAGAACAAAGTGACGGCGTATGTATACATCCTGGTTGAACGAGGGAACTGGCCTCCCTAAAGCCCCTCTCATGCACATAAAAAAAATAAAAGACTGAGATGGCGACACACTCAAGTTAATACACTTATATAAGCTCCGCCATCGAACAGAAAATAAGCAACAAAGACATAATACTACATGAAAGTTACTCACAAAGAAACACAAGCAAACAATACAAATCACTTGTCAAGGTAACGACAGTGTGTTTTTGCTACCTCCTCCTCTTGTCCTACCAGAATACGATAGCAATCAGAACATACTCGGCAAAAAAAGGCATAATCCAAAATGTAGCCGTAGCTGGTGTCTGCTATCGAGTCTACAAGCTGGCTGCGCTTTCTGGTATGACGTAGCCTGATAGACGGTACCGATAAGGGTGACGTAGACCAATGGGAAACGTCCTGGATTTCGGCTCTTGACGGTTTGTGCCGGACACCCCGACATAGTTCTCCGTCGACAGTCGTCTAGTACGGACTGTGAACCGTACTGTACTCGACACGACCAGACTGAAGTTTGTGACAACTCCGTATCGGCTGACAGTGTTCTACCGGTGTTTTTTTAGCTTCGCCAGACGGTAAGAAATGTTCTCACACCACAGTATCCCCTACATTGAATTTCTCTTGTACATTCCATATTTTCCAATCTTTAGAATTAAGTCAAATGCACCCAAAGCGAATTCAGGGCAGTAAAATTGGATTTTGATTACATGTTGGAATTAAGTGGTGCAACGGTTAGAGCGTTGGACTCGGAACCAAGAGGTCCCGGGTTCGATACTCACCGTGGCCCGCCGTTGTACCCCTGGGAAAAGCACTTTACACGACTTTCCCACCTGTACGGTGGAGTGACGCCCACTGAGCCTCTTACGCTAATATGTCTAACTGTGTGCGAAAAACTCACCACGGATTTGGTGCGCCGATGTTACAACGTCTGCACATTGGCCACTGAGAGCCGTTAATTTTTTTTAATTAAAAAAAAGATAACGCACATCGTAATTCTCTTCCAGATTTCAACACACACACAAAGAAACATGCTGTTGAAACTGTTGCTGCCCACGGTGGTGATGTTCGGCTCATTCCCAATCGGTCAGTCCGCCACGCCGCCGCAGCCGCCACCGGTCCTGTCGGAAGGGCCGGGCCCAGGTGTGTGCGCTCTTTATGCTCAGGTCACATTTCCAAACCGATTATAAGTATGACTTGTGTGTATTTTTATGGAAAGGTAGCAACCCTTCCCGTCTAAAACCATATATTTTGTGGGGTCGTGTGGCGTAGCGGCAGAGTGCTCGACTCGGAACCAAGAGGTCCCGGGTTCGAGTCCTGACATGCCACCGATCTTGTGCTCTTGGGAAAGGCACTTTACACGACATTCCTCACTTCGCTCAGATGAAAATGAGTATTGTATTGTTCCCTGTGTTGGTGGCGGCATTAATATACTAGTAAGTTGAAAAACCTTGAGTGTGCCGTCACCACGTCTTGTGACTACATGTTGGAATTTAAAAAAAACATACATTTTTATAATATACGATTTGGATAAGGTCCCAAGATGGGTACGCCTGATCCCGGATATGATATGTAGAAAAACTGTTGATAAAACATAGAGAATATTCATGACTACATGCGAGCGGCATGCTTCACTGCGTTAGACGAATCTGTTTATTGCAAATTCTTGCCCGATGTCTAATTGCAATTTACGTTAAGATGAATACAGAATAATGTACTGTTGCCATGCGGGAAAAAGTATACCTAACTTCTTCTGCTATTTATGATAATACTTAATTGTGTAGCAGACTGCACGGATTTTATTCTGACGATACAGTTGTTTGAAAACTAGTGGCTATTTCTGATACAAGTTGACTAGGTCTGTCTAGGCTTTCTGAATTTGAAGTCTTCTTTAGAAGCAGTAGAAGACGATATGCCACATTCTGTGATGTCCGTAGATGTTGGGCAGCTCGAGTATACTATGGTGGCTTCTTTTAATGATTCGCATTTTTCTAATAAAATGGTTGAAAACACGCACGTAGGGAATCTGACTTTTAAAAAATTCCTTACGTACATTTCCATCACAGATTAGCTAACTATTTCATGTGTTAAAACTACAGTTTGCTCCGTTGACGTTGTTTTCGTTGTGGACGAATCCTCGAGCATATCGAGCTCCTGGTTCGGCCGCGCCAAACAATTCATCGCCGACTTTTTCACCTGCTTCACTCACCTTCACGATATCCAGGTGAGTAGCTGAGCTTTTTTTCATCTTTGACATTCATGCTAATTGACTACCTTACGTACAAATCCTCTACTTCTTTTGACAATGGCTGAAACTACATTTAGGTATTGTGCGCTCATTCTACGAAAAAAGGCTAATAACACACCATTACATGTCCAATATTCAAGCATACCTATACGCATACTTTAATGCTTTAAATGTGCGCGCAAAGCATAACCTTCCTGACGAAGACAGGCTAAATCAAAGTTCCTTCAGATTCAAAGTTCCTTCAGATGCGGCTTCAGATATCTTACTGAGGGACGCCTAGAATGTTCTAGATGCCGGTTAACTTAAGGAGTGAAGTGAATCCTCTCAACTATATACTTCCTAGAGAAGATAGAAATGGTTTATATTCTGTTGTTATTTATGGTGAGTTATTGGTGACATAGATTGGAGTCATTCCGTACAACTGTGTCCCGAGGACATACCTTCCGTTGAGCACACCCACCGGTAACTTTATGCACTACTTGATGCAGAAGGGGGGTCTGAGCAAGACCGGGGTGGCTATCCGCTACATGACGGACACGGTACGACCGAGTTAGATGTCATTTCTGTTCAAGCGTTTTTGATTATCTGCCGATGCAGTAACTATGTTCTACTGCTGCATTTTAATCTGTATTACGCATTGCATTTATTTACAGTGTGCAATTAAAATTTCAGCAATACTTTATTGCATAGATGTTTGCCACACTTTGAATTCGTGATGACTCACATGTTTGTTTATTTATTTATTTGTTTGTTTGTTTGTTTCTTTGTTTAGTCCACTTTCCGTGCCGGGGTCCCTCGGGCGGCCGTGGTCATGACGGACGGATTCGTGAGTCACTAACTTTGTCCTTTGGAGAGTTTTTACAATTGTTAAGCCTGAGCCTCCGTAGAGTTAATATTCGTGCAGCTCTTCTACTTTTATTGATTCATTTCATCTTTGTCACAATACAGTAAACAATAGAGGGGTAGCAGGATATCCTATTGTCATGGCTTCGGTCCAAATAACTCCTTTTCACCGAGCCAGCTACTATATATTCCTACAAAATACAAATGAATCACCAGGTGCTGATACCTGGCGATTGCAGATATCTCTCTCCAGGATGTTCTGTTTTCGGCACAGGACCTCCTGTTCGCTCTGGTGACTAGCCTCGACCAGGCTCTCTAGGCCGCTGGAAAAATAGTAGACATTGTTTTTCCAGGATTTTCACACTGTGGTTCAACTGGTGTTTGACTATGCTAAGGCTGACTGGTATATCTTCAACTTGATCTTGTCCCTTATCCAGAAACGTATACATTTTTCTTTATTTCAATGTACAAACAATACAATACAAAGTGGTGACGCGCTCAACCGACATAACTTATATTCACGTCGCCAATACTATGTAATAGACATAAAATAAAAACTGCAACACAAGACAACAAAATATCACATGGGAAACGTCCGGGTAACAAGAACAGAGTTAAACAATTAAGATATTATAATTTTACATGTACATTGATGAATTACTCAATTTGACAACACAAGACAGCAAAATATCACATGGGTAACATCCAGCTAACAAGAACAGAGTTAAACAATTAAGATTACATATACATTTGAATTACTGAATTTGATACCATCTTCTTAGTCTACGGACAACTTTGCGGCGGCAGTTGCGGCAGCCGTGGCTGACGATATCGAGCTGTACGCGGTGAGTCTCCAAGATCCGGGTCAGGTAGACACCGCTGCGCTTGGGGCCATCGCCGGGAGCCCCGACCGCGTGTTTAACACAGACATCCCCTGCAAAGTCGCCTTCCGTATCCTGGCGGACCTCTGCAAGTCATCGGGTAAATAATACAAACAGGACCTCGGCGGTCCCAGACCTCTATGAAATATTCTATCTTGTGTAGATGTCATTTTTTTTTTATCCTCTTCTCATTTGCCATGGTATCTACATGTACGTGTTGTACAAGTCAACAATTTTAGAGGGGGGTTGAAAATCTCTGTTGTATCTCTGCATGATACAATCCGCTTGATTCAAGCAGTCCATCAACAACTGTGAGGGCACACACACACACACACACACACACACACACACACACACACACACACACACACACACACACACACACACACACACAGACAAAAACATACACATACACACATACATACATACAGATAAATAGGTAAATATAGCGCTGATGTCATTCCAGGTGTACCAGGCTGTCTCGGTGAGAATGACGCCATTGTGCCCTTAGGGTACTCCTACGAGGTGAGTTCTAGACCTGAGGTTCAATGGGACCCATGGAACCCTCTAGGTAAGGCCCGACTATTGTGCGTGGAACATTGGGTACCGAGGGGCATGAATTGAGAAGGAAGCAGAGCGTTTGATCGCAAACGATGAGTCCCTTTATTGTTTGGTACCATCAATAATTAGCTAGAACCAGCTCACGATACAAAACAAGAAACCGTTTTTCACGGTTGACGTCGCATTTTGTGCCTCACAGATATCAGTATGCTATGGCATATGGTTGATTTAACTTACAACATTGTAAAAATGACCAGTAAATTGACCGCATTTGTATTAGAAATGGCATTAGACGCAGTTAATGTGTCTCTGGCACGCGACATATACGGCCAGTGGGACGTATGATATGTCCGCATATTGAACAAGCGTCAGTTGAGCTACCTACATACCAAAAATCACGACGATCCGTCCACCAGTTCTTGAGTTATCCTCTTTTGAATATTTTCAAACAGATAGCCCTGCAGTTCCTGAGCAAGCCGCCAAACTCATGTCACTTCTTCCCCAGCATGAGAGCTACCTACCATCCAAATTTTGTCACCCCAGCATGTCTAGATCATGAGATATCAAAACCGGAAGTTTAGCTGCAGTACCATAACAAGCCGCTAGGGGGTCCAAAATCTAATCATTTCCAGGTCTCATCAAGACCTACCCACCTACCAAATATCAAGATAATCCATCTAAGCTTTCTCGAGTTATGCTGTTGACAGACAGACACACAGACACACGGGCAGGAAAACATAACCTTCGTCAATTACTGGCGAAGGTAATGACGAAGGGACAGTACCGGTACATGTGAGTTCCATATGCATTCATTACCCCCATCTTACAGATACCGGGACATGGGATATGCGGAAAGTGCGTCTGTGGAGACAATGGAGAAATGCTCTGCACGGCTGTGGGCTGTCCACTGCAGTTTCCGGAATGCCAGAACCCGGTGGACGTCGCTACCTGGTGCTGCCCTGCCTGCGCTGACGATGTTTTTAATTATTATAACGGTAAGTTTAGAATAGCTCAATTGGTAGAGTGCTCGCTTTGTAACCGGGAGGTCGTGAGTTCAAACCCCGGCCGGGTCATACCAAAGACTTTAAAAATGGTACACACTTCTTTCTCTGCTTAGCACTCAGCACATATGGGAAAGAGTGTGGGAAGGTCAAACACACAGCACTACCAGCGGACCAGCCCCCTGCTATAGTGCATTGCACAATTGTGTGTCGCCCAGGGGCTACGAAATGGAGATGGGCACCACCCTACGCTCGGGCAAGAGCATGGGAGACCTTCTTCTTCTTCTTCTAAGTTTAGAAGCAAGATAGGTCATAGAAAAATGGTTATCTGGAAGGCACTCATGGATTGTTATAACGTCTAGGAAGATCTTGCAATTGGGATGTGACAATGGTGATGAGATTAGTGTTTCTCTGGGTCAGCAGATCAACAGCAGATTGTGTTCAGTTTCACAAAATAACGTTCAGTTCATTTTCCTTCTGATGAATGAACAAAAATCGTCTGGTCAAGTTAGTCGTTGGAAGGAGTGCACGATATAGAGTTTTGACTTGAATATGAAACCATATTTGGTCCTTAATATATTTACGCCATTCCATACAGTTCCGGAGGGCTGTCTGTACAATGGAGAGATCATTCCTTTGGGGGATGAGTACAAGGTAAGGATTGACACCTGTCTGTCAAACAAGTCATGAGGGGGAGGGGGGCAAGTTCTCGCCCGTGTTGTATGTACGTACGTCTGTGTGAAAAGCCCCTGTCACACATTCAGAACCTTTCTCAACCACCGACCAAACAAGGTTGACTGAAGCTCGGGAGCAGTCTGACCAGATTTAGGCCACACGTACCTTTCTATACAAATCGAATCAAATTTTAGTCAAATTCCACTCCCAACCACGCCCCGACCACAGCTGACCTACACATCAATCTACCATCCCCCAAAGTTCCTGTAGTACACACCCGAATGTATTTTAACGTTTTGAAAAATTTGGTTGGTGCAGCGGAACACCTGCCAACCACAGCCGACCTTATTCTTATGCAGACGACCTTGTCCTATTATCAACAAGTCAAGTTGGTCTACAAAATACAATAGATTCACTAGGTGGCTACTGCAACAAATGGAAATTATCAGTCAATCTTAGCAAAAAAATTATTATTATATTGAACAACACATTATTTGCAATAAACCTCATTGTCATTGCCTTATTCCTCTCCCTCTCCTCCAGCCAGATGACTGCACGACCTGCACCTGTCCTGCGGCCGGAGCGGAACCCGTGTGCGTAGCGCAGGCCTGCAGACCTCTGGACTGCCCCTGCCCCGTGCACATCGTGGGGCAGTGCTGCCCGGTCTGTCCAGGCTGTTGGGAGGGCGATGTCCTCATCCCCGTGGGAGCTACCTATCAGGTCAGACATACATTAGACTGACATAAATCACTCATTCACTCACTCCTGGAACTCACAGAGCCGTAACTGGACAACATGCGTGTCAGCAGGGTCTGCCACATCTGGTGGTCTTCAGCCAGTCTGACATACCAGTAACTATTGTTCTCCTAGCTAGTTTCTTGGCCTTCTCATTCTTGACCGTCAGTGGTCAGCCCTTGCCTTGCGGTGGCGCTTTTGCGGCGAGAACACAATCCCAGTGTATGCACACACACACACACACACACACACACACACACACACACACACACACACACATTGTCCCGGTTCACCACTGAGGTTGACTTTCTTAATCCAGACAGCTTCCTTGATCCGTAAACATACAAGGTAAGAGAAGTACCGGTTGTGTACGAAACGAAATCCCTATATATGATGATCACTACGTACGTACCTTCCCTCTTCAGCCAAATCCCTGCACGTTTTGTTCCTGCCCTTACGCCGGGGCCACGCCGAGTTGTGCCGTCATGGACTGCGCAGCTCCTCCATGTGAGAACTACGTGGTGCCCCCGGGAGAATGCTGCCCAGTCTGCCCGACGCCGATCGGCTGTCAACATGAGTACGGCCTCATCCTGCCGGACAACTCCTTCTGGGTGAGAGCTAGGGCTCACAAAGCTGAACCTCACTTGGTCATGTGGTAGATCGTCATTTTACACAGCCAGCTACATTATGTAATATTAGGACGACACAAAAAGGCAATTTTCTGGTCCATTTTATTCTTTACAAAGTCAGTTGAATCGATCGTACTCCATTGCAAATAAGTGCCATTCGGGAAGTGAAGGTGCCAAAATATTACACCATACGAGTGTGTTTACAAGCTGGAAACACAGATGTTATTCAACTTTGTGTAAATTCTGATAGTTTGTGATGGTGCCACAAAATGAGTGCGCCTCGTGTGGGCTGTTTCATGCCCAACAATATCTAATACAAATATGATGAGAAGTGGAAATAAATTACAATCACATGAAGGTCGTTTCTTAAATTACAAAAAAATACATGATACCCCATTGCAGAGGGTTAGAAATCATTACATACAACATGAATGTTTGTTACTAGCAGTCGGGGTCGACTTAATTTTTCCTCGGGTTGGCAATTTCATGCACCAGCAAGTTGCCACCCTTTCTATGTAACTATAACTGTATAGAGGATGAAGCACACTTTGTTTTAGAATGTGCGGTATACAATGACATCCGAAAATCCTTTATTAGCTCCTTACAGTTAGAAAAGAAATTTGCATACTTGCCGAAAATAGAATTGTTCAAACATATTATGACATCCAAGCGCTATAATATAATTGAAAAACTATGTAAATTTGTTCATACATGTTTCAAAAAGAGAGAAGAGATCCTGTAGTTAGATCCTGTAGATAGAGAAATAGCACACGAATGTAACAATTGCTCCTTCTATTCTTGTTACCAAGTTATTTAACTTCAGTGCATTTGGTCCGTGTAGGGCGTGAACATGCAATGAAGTTCATTGTCATTGTCATTATAACGAAATTACCACATTTTACACTGACGCTGGCACTTCACTTGTCGGTCCCACGCTCCAGCCGGATCCCTGCACTTGGTGCACCTGTCAGGAGCCCGGGACGGAGCCGGTGTGCTACCCGACACCCGGCTGTCCACCTCCGCCCTGTGACGACGAACATTACTTCCGCCTCCCAACACAGTGCTGCCCAATGTGCGACACCGACGGTTAGACTGCTTTTATCTTTCTACTATCTTTCCGCTTGTTTAAAGTTAAAACTTTTGGTCCAACACAAAAAATTCTCTCACCTAGAACTTTCGACCAGTCACACTTCAAAGAAGCCACGTGACAAGCTTCACTGGGTCAGTCTACTGAGGAAGACCAGAGTGACTGGTCGAAAGCTCTAGGTGAGAGAATTTTTTGTGTTGGACCAAAAGTTTTAACTTTAAACATGTAACTACCAACACAGATGAACTTTCATGATAGTATCTTTCCGCTTGTTCATCAGAATATCATTAAGTCCAACAACAGAAAAATCCAGTCAGGTTTGAGTAGGAGATAACCCTTACTGTGTAGAAATAGGTAAATATATCAAAGAATGTTTATATCTTATAGCATAAGTTGTACTGATAGTTCTAAGTAGTTATACTATAACTGACACGTCAAATTCAACATGTTGATTAATTCCTTTTCGTTTGTATCCACTTGATTGTGTGTTTAGTTGTAGTAGACTTCACGAAAGTCGCCGTACTTTCGTTGTTTCAACAAAATTTGCCTCTATCCACAATAACGTACTCCGGAGCGGGAAAGACTTCAGCAAATGAATAGGGTCCTAGATTTGGACACCTCTGAGAAATCATATTGATGATCAATTCTAATTTTCCAGCTCCGGACGGCTGTTTGTTTGATCCGAATGACAATTTCCTCATCCCCCTGGGATACGACTACGCGGTAAGACTTGTTACATCTGTCAAAACTATCGTGAGGGCAGAGATTCTTAGATGGCAGATGGAGTAAACATTTGTAATGTTCCCGGGTTGTTTATGAAATCATGGACTCCACAAAACTGATATTTTACTTCGGTGAACCAGTAACACCAAGCTTCAGTGCACAGTGAACCAGTAACACCTAGCTTCAGTGCATAGTGAACCAGCAACATCTAGCTTCAGTGCACAGTGAACCAGTAACACCTAGATTTTCAGTGCACAGTAAACCAGTAACACCTAGCTTCAGTGCATAGTGAACCAGCAACATCTAGCTTCAGTGCACAGTGAACCAGCAACACCTAGATTTTCAGTGCACAGTAAACCAGTAACATCTAGCTTCAGTGGACAGTAAACCAGCAACACATAGCTTCAGTGGACAGTAAACCAGTAACACCTAGCTTCAGTGGACCGTGAACCAGTAACACCTAGCTTCAGTGGACCGTGAACTTGTCACAATTGCCCTGATGAAGATGACAGACGGTCATCCGAAACGTCAGCTCTTGTTAAACAAGTAGTTGTGAGCAAAAATCTTTGCTATTCTTTGCTGAAACAAGCACTGTACATGTAGATGAGATTTACTACACTGTATTGTCAGTGCATGTACATGTATATGTTTACAAAGTAAGTCTTTCTTTCATATAGATACCGTCGGATCCATGCATGGTCTGTACCTGTCCTTTTGCCGGAGGAGCGGTTGCCTGTTCGCTCATCGCGTGCCCTCCCCCGGGCTGTCCCAACCCCGTACACATCGCGGGGGTGTGCTGCCCCCTCTGCACCATATAGGATCACCTAAGCCTCAGCCAGAGGTACGGGATCTGTGATCTGTACCTAACCTCTAAATGTCAGATTATATTCGCACGTGCAAGATATTATTCTCTTTATATTCAAATGAACATCACAAAGCCAAGGAAAATTAGTAATTAGTGGTGACAGAATTACAGATTGCACATTGCCAAGTTCCTAAAGCAGTATAAAAGCAGAATTAATGTTGACTACGCTGGGTTTAAGCAAACGCAATACTGTCATGAATGTGGACGAAATTTATTCGGACGAAAATTCTTCAAGAAACACACTTGAAGTCCTCATCTTTACATCTTATTTGCTGTCCTCTTTCAGGTCAATGAATGATCACTTGGGAACAAGGCGGTTCGTTAGGAACGACAGCCGTAGACTGTCAGAAATTCCGAGAATAAATCGAAATAAATGAAATAAATCAAAATACTTGTTGCTCATTGTTGTCGCTCACCGTGTCTTTTTTTTTTTGCCTCGTAGCACGAGTTCTTGTCACTTCAAAACTACATGTAATCGTGTTCGGTTAGCGTCAATATACACTGTAACGCGACTGTCAAATATTATACTAGTACTGACTCCAGGAAGAATAGATTTCATGTAAATCTAATGGAGATCTAATAAACAAACAAACAAACTCTTAACTGAGAAATGGACCTATTCAAAGTCAAGACTTAGTCCGGTTCCCTCCAGTTTTGTCTTGCATTTTAAGTCGAGCAACTTGCTTTGTTCGTCGGTAAACATTGTCTTCCAGTCGCCGACAAGACCTAGAATCAACACAAATATTGAAATATTCATTTATACATATCTTCTGATGTTCATGCATGCCTGTGTTAGACACTTATTATCTTATATTGAAGTGTTACATTGACCAACGTTAAAATACTGTTTTCATAATTTGAATACACAGTTTAAGTTTGTGTACATTTTTCAAGACGCACAAGTAGTCCTAATGCATGCTTGTTACTCTTAACAATTGGCGAAATTGACCTATTACTAAAACTAAGCCATTTAGAAAAGTTAGGGCGAAGGAAAAAAGTCTAATATATAACAGTCAAAAGTACATTTGTATATGGACGATATTGCACCAATTGACAGCCACTCCCGCTGGCCACGTACGCTTTACCAAACGTAATATAAGATGTCAAATGTAAACACAGTGCTGTAGTAGTCAATTCAAATGGTGCTCTCTACAATTTAATGACCTTGACGTTACCTTTGCGAGCGTTGACGGTCCTGTCGCCGTAACGTGACTTATCCAGGGCCGCTTTCATGTTGGAGAAGGTGCACGCATGCGCGATAGCCTCGATGGAAGCGTCATCCAGTTTGACCTCTAGGAAGGTCGCCACTGACCTGACGGCGTTCGGTAAATTCTGAGACAAACAAAAGGACATACATGATTACATATCTACATGTACATACAGGTACCGAAGTATTGTTTTGGGTGCCTGGACTGTGGGTCTGTGTATCTGTCTCAGATCTGTTTCGGATAGGGTAGGTTGATGTCACGTGGGTGGGAGAGAGCTCCTGAATCAAACAGGAGGACATACATGATTACACATAAACTTACAGGTACGGAAGTATTGTTTTGGGTTCCAGAACTGTTAGCCTAGTTTGTATCTGTTTGTCTGGAAAAAATAGCTTGACAGTACGAGGGTAGGGAAGAGATCTTGAGGCAAGGTGGAAATACATTACATTCTTCGCTTAGTATAATCATATACGCCTGGTATCTACATGTACGTACCTTCTTCATGTCTTCGTACTTTAAGAACAAGAAGTGAGGGTCGTCACGCCTCTGCCACCAGCCAAGGACATGGTCAAAGTAGCAACCGTACGTATCTGAGAATTAGAACAATGTCATAAGCTTGACAAGTAGACAGGTTTAGCCCTATACGTTTTTACGATTACTTATAACATTTTATGAAACGTTCGTGACCTTCAAAACGTATAGTGTAGGTAGACTATATGATTGTACAACAATTTAACCACAAACTCTGCACGTCAATTAGCTATAGATGTATAGATTTAGCTGTTTATATTTTTTCAACCTTTATTTAACCTTGACAATGTATAAAAGTACACTCTCCGGCCTTTTCAGGAGTATGGCCAAGGGTTTACAATGCATCTTTGATACAGTTTGACAATGGGTCATGATAATACATACAATATTGGCCCATTGTTCATGTAACTTCTCTAAACCATGTGTCATTTGCGTGAGGCTGATCTCAAAGTGATCTGCTCATTTTCCACCATATTGTCTGAAAAAGTGTCTTCCTACTTACGCTTGCCGGCCAGGAATAACTGGAAGAACTCGTCCCATGAGGGAAGCGGTTTCCGTTCAAAACTAGCCCGGAGCTTCTGCTCGAAGTGGAAGTAGGACACCGCTGTGTCCTTAGGGTTCCGCATAACAACGATCACCTTAACCTGTGCAAGGAGGCATAGAATTATCAGCGAAAAGTGCTTGCTGACAATACTGTATGTAAATGAACATCATGCACTGTACACAGCCAATGATAAGAGGCGTAAGATTATCAGCGCTTGCTGGCTATACTATACTATATCTATATATATCTATATATATATCTATATCTATCTATATATCTATATCTATCTATATCTATCTATCTATCAATATCTATCTATCTATCTATCTATCTACTATATATATATATATATATATATATATATATATATATATATATATATATAGATAGATATATATATATAGATAGATATAGATATAGATATATATATATAATATCTCCTATATTTACTTCTATATATATAGCCGGCAAGTGCTGATAATTTTACGTCTTATCATTGCCTGTGTACAGTGTATGATGTTCATTTACATACAGTATAGTCAGCAAGCACTTTTGATTATACATCATACGCAGCCAATGACAAGTGGTTTCCCACCCACATGACTATGATGAGGGATTCTCGGCCATTTTGGATGTTCGCCATTTTGAAAGTCGCAAAGTATGTAAGTCTATACTCTACAGTACATGTACCAGTACCACTTCAGTCACGTCATTATGATTTATACGTATGAAAACCTGTAGGTTTAAAAACCTCTTTAGTTTCAACCAAACAGAATTTGATGTCACATGCGAACAGAACACTGTGACCGAGACGGGGCTGTTACAAATTAACACTCGTAGCTAACGTAACAGTTCCACGTGGTTTGGGCCTTGGGCCTTTTCAATTTGATAAGGACTAGAGCACTTATAAGGTCTTATATACTTATCCCCAGGCAGATTATCTGGGGCAAGGGGAGTCTATATTGGCCACCTGTAACCATTGGCCGCCAGTTTAATACTGCCCTGCCGATTTGACACTGTATTACTCTCCAAGCAGAGGTAGGGTCGCTCGGTATTTTGGCAGTATTTTCGCGTTTTAAATACGTCTTTCTACTTTTACGGTTTTTCTCTGGTCTTCCTCCCCTTACGCGAAAATACTGCCAAAATACCTAGCGACCCTACCTCTGCTTGGAGAGTAACACTGTATTGCAGTCATCCAAAGATCCACTTGGTACTTGGAGACTGTTGGTAACGTATGGCTATAGCGTTTAAGTCTTCATTAAGTCACAGCTATCATTGATAAAGATTCATCAGTTAAACCCTCACGTTATCCTTCGGCTGTGAGATGCCCGGCGGGGCGGTGTGTGGGGTCAGGTGGGTCAGGATGACGCGGGGAGAGGCACACGTCTGCAACATCACGTGACGAGGGCGTGGCTCGTGAGGGTAGCTGAACTCCAGTTTTCCCACCATGTCGTCAGACGAGGTGTCGGTCTTTCCACAGGCCGACAGGATCTTGTTCACGATCTCAAGCATCCAGTTAGTTCCTGAGGGTTATGGAATGATACATAGTCTGATGTTTATCCTATTCTTGCTCTTCTGGTTCAGCAGGGGAACACAAAGTTAACGTAAACACAAACATACACATGCACACTCAAACACGCGTACACACATACACATACAAGTCTCTCTCTGTATGTATGTATATTTGAGAATGTTTGTGTGTGTTTGTGTGTGTGTGTCTGTGTGTCTGTGTGTCTGTGTGTACGTGTGTGTGCATGAATCACACACCTGCTTTGGGAAACGCCACTATGACTATGTCGTCATCTCGGAGTTCAAAGTTCTCCATGGCTTCTAGATTGTCCTTTTTGACGTTAGGTGGATATCTGATGCCCTTGACGGCATGTGTGTAGTCATCATCGTCCATGAAACTTGCAGTCTTCTCAGCCATCGGTAAACGGGGCATCAGGGTACAAGGTTCGCTGTTTATTTATTTGTCAAGCGCTGAACTACTCAAACAACCTGGCTCGATCGCCGTATAACGGGGTTATCACAGCGAATAGAAAACATTGGCAGAACCAAGGATGTTTTATCAAGCTTGATGTAATATGATTTTGGGAACGGTCAGACGTCTCAGGTAGCATCCACTACCTTTCGTCAGTGACACTAAGAGACCAGAGGAGAAATACAGGTATATAAGCACGAATTATTGATTGATATGCAAATAAGTGAAACAAAGGTTAAACAAGAACAGGAGCTTTCGTGTTGTCTGTCCTTGGGGCTGTGTGTGTGTGTGTGTGTGTGTGTGTGCGTGTATGTGTGTGTGTGCGCGCGTGTGTGTGTGTGTGTGTGTGTGTGTGTGTGTGTGTGTGTGCGTGTGTGTGTGTGTGTGTGCGTGTGTGTGCGTCTCTCTCTCTGTGTGAGTGTGTGTGTGTGTGTGTGTGTGTGTGTGTGTGTGTGTGTGTGTGTGTGTGTGTGTGTGTGTGTGTGTGTGTGTGTGTGTGTGTGTGTGTGTGTGTGTGTGTGTGTGTGTGTGTGTGTGTTGGTGTACATGTGTGTGGGGGGGGGGGCATGAAACACACACCTGCTTTGGGGAACGCCACTATGACTATGTCGTCATCCCGTAGTTCAAAGTTCGCCATAGCCTCCAGATTGTCCTCGGTGACGTCAGGTGGATATCTGACGCCCTTGACGGCATGTGAGAAGTCATCATCGTCCATGAAACTTGCCGTCGTCTCCGCCATCTTGAACTTTTCCTATAACATAACGACTAACTTATCACCCAGAACTCTGGTCTCCGCCAAACTAACAACACTGGTTGACAAAAATAATAAAATCTTCATTGCCAAACGGGAGTATAATTGACCATATTTGACTTCAATAACCCACTCACTTCCAATGAAAAGTGCTACCATCACCCAAGCTTACCCATCGCCAATTACTATCCCTGTTTTTGCTGAGTCATTCTGCAACTGGACACTATTAAGAAGGACTTGTGGAGGCTACTGGAACCCTGAATGTTTAAATCTTACTCTGTTTAAACGAATGTGTAAGGAGGCTCTTACCGTACTTGACGATACCTTTTGCAATAGTTCTATACGACGTATACGAACGACTTTTACGTACAGGAACGACTTTTCTATGTAGCGCTGTTGTCGACGCTACATGCGGAATTACCAGTTATTTGATAAGTAGGTAAATGGGCCTAAGGGTACAAGGTTCGCCACGTCTTTATTTGTCAATCGCTTAGCTACCCAAACAATCTGGCTGGGACGCCGTACTTTTGGTTTATGATCATAGCGAATAGTAGACAGCGTCGGTAGACATGCACCTGTGCATAGCACGCCTATAGAACGTATCGTTAAGTGAGAACTTCATGCACTTGTGTCATTTAGCCTCGAGCTCTGTACACCTGAAGAAGCCACACAGGCGAAATCGGTCGCGTGACAGGCTGAATAAAAGTTCTAAACGGGAACTATGCGGCTCCAGATGATGTCTTACTAAGGGAAGACTGTTGTAATTGAGTTGTAACTTGAACGAACGCAACGAAGACACAGAATCCGTAACGAATCCCATGAGTTCTCTTCAGTGAATAGATGAAAGAATGAAAGAATCCGAGATCTGCTTTGTTGACTGCCAAACAAAGCTGACAAACAGGATCTTTACTGTATGTTTAATCCGTAACAGTCCTAGCTGTCGCAGTTGTTGTAGTTGTCGTTGTTGTACGGGTACCTCGCGTAGCACTCTGCCAGCGTCTTGTCACAGTTACAGACCGCCAGTTTACACATGCTGGTCTTCTTGGAAGGTTTGTTCCACCACCAACCTGAGGTATTCGGAGCTGTAGAAAAAACAAACATATAGCGATATAACAAAGTATAGCGATCACCAACACTGCGCCTTGCATGTCTGTAAAACAGAAAGGAATGAAAACTTGAATTCTGAAAGGTAACATTTGCAAAGCAAATATATACATGTATTATGTTTACATTTTCATGGTCTAGCTCAACAAACGAAGTACTGCCCTGTTTATTCTTGTAGGCCACTTGCAACATAATGTAACCCAACACCATTGGGTGTCTGTTACAGCACCAGTTACCATGGTAACAGACGTCTGGTCCTTTATCATTTGACCTTATGTGTTTGGAGAAGAAGGAGAAGAAGAAACGGAGCAAAATTAACCGGTACTGTTTTATATTACGTCTAACCATTCAACAATGGTACTTACCACACGTGATCTGACCACGCCTGCAGTTGTAGTTATAGGTGGCGGTGTAAGGGAACAGGTAGCCACACTGGTCCATCACACTATCGTAGCACTCATCATGCTCTTTGCAGCACCTGTCAATGTACAGGTAAACCTGTCTGTTATTAGTGCTGAATACATGTACACACCCACACACCCACACACACACACACACACACTCACTCACACACACACACACACACACACACACACACACAGACAGACACACACGCACACACATGTACAGGTAAACTGAATACCATCCATGTACACTCCCGTACACACACACACATACGTATACGTACTGCCCCCTTCATTATTCTATCATCAGGAAGAGATGATTTAAGATAAGCCCACCTGTCAACATCGTCCATGGGCTCACCACTCCCCCCTAGTCCGCACCAGCAGCCGTAGTCGCTGTAATCTAGTGGATTCCGCTGGGTGGCGCAGTAGATCAGCCGCCCCAGGTAAAAGGCGTTCTTGGCCCTTTTAGTGTTGTGTTTATGGCCTTCAGCATTTGAAGTACATACTGAAAACAAGGGTATACATGTCCAGGAAAGATACTGCATATCTAACAAAAGGTGCATAATTCTGACGGGTGTCAGTCGGATTTTCTTATATAACCAAAGTTTGGCCTACACTGTCAAAATATTGGTATTCTATAAGCATCAAAACATATCTTAGACACCGTTCGTAATCTAATGTGATTTTTACATTTATCAACCTCACAATCATGCCTAGTCGGTTAAGTCCTATCGGAGTCACACATAGCAGAGCCTGTTCCTTTCATCCACCTTCCTCCATCTTGAATGTGTGTGCCAAAGGACATTTGGCGACTTCGAACAAAACGAAAATCTTCTGTCTTGTGTAACCTTTGACCTGTTATCGGCACATTTAACCGGGTTGTCTATCAGGTACGATATGTGTAAAAACCGGGTGAGGTCTGGCAATTAAGATGCCTAATGCCCCGCGGGCATTCTATTTGCTCGAAAAACAACACAGTGTCTTAATACATGTGTAAAATGCTATCGTGAACCATGTTGGCGTTACCGAGTGTTGTACCGTAGCTACCCACATACAGTAAATACCACCCAAGACTCTCCTCTTCGAGCTTTTCTACAATAGTAGCACTCAATACCTCGGTCATCTGCTTGTACAGAAACACCCTTTAGATTTACAAATGTGCATAGTAACTTTGCGATCGAAAATAAACTGTCAAAAGATTACCAGATAGATGATCTAGCTCTACAATTACGTTAGAATGTACACCGTGTATCAGTGAAAAATTCATACTTACAAGCGATAAGTGATAACGTGACTGCCATCATAGCAGCTGTCCTCTTCGGAGCAAACATGGCTGGAAATTTCCGTCTGAACTTGTCTGTCACAGAAGGTCTGAATTTCTGAAATGTCTCGATAACTATCAGACGGTTGTGAATTTTTCTAACTTGTCTCCGTAGATGAAGACAGTCCCTTGTCTAGAACGTCTTCCGTGTAATTCTTTCTACAGTGAGCTGTCTTCGGAGTCAGTTTTTGCCTCCGTATCCTCCGACTTAGGGCGTGGATGCTGGCCCTTAGTTCTGGTGCTTTGCAGGTTAATTATGAAAACATGCCTGAGGCCCAGGGAAAAATGCTGTATTACCGGTTTCCCAACTAACCCTTGCAAAAACCCAAAACGTTTTGGCAAACAGCAGTATAAGACTTCTAGCCAATTACATCATTCTAGTACAATCAAAGAAGAAAATTCTAAACCCTAAAATATTGATGGAAAACACAATGCACAGTATGAGGCAAATCGTTGTATGAGGCTACTAGCTTGTTTCATTAGTCCAGTATGTTTTACACATATGCACAAGAATTAATAGATACAACGTACATGTAATAGGGGTTTGTTTTATTTCTGTGTTCATATATTCAATAACACATGTACCGATATATTGCAGAAATACAGATACATGTTTTAAAACATAAAGCTTTTCAGTTTTCTGTATATTTGATTATTGCACAGAGAGACACCTTACACAAGTACACGATACGAATTGATATTGCGAAATTCTTTGCGAAGACATCCTGTACTACCTGTTAATTGTTCTTCAAATTTCCATTTTACCAACCTGATGCTATGCAACCAGCGAGAAAGGATAAAAATATTTGATATTTCACCCCAGGCAAAAATAGCAATATAACACGAAACATGTTGATTCTGAGCCCATATTTATATAATTCTATCTAGCACATCTACGTACTGTCGTAGTCCAAGTGTGTCCGAGTTTTCTTACGTAGATATCCACACAAAAGCACGTGTCTAGTCTTGCCCTTGAGAGCAAAGCCTACACATAGTCAGCCCACTGCGAACAATTCACCCTATTTGGCCAATGTCATCGGATATGTTCACCCGCTCCACAAGGAGCTGTGGCACGGATAGAGCCAGCACGTCGGCAGAACGTACTGCGCCTGCGCGGAACCATGGTTTCTGTTTAGAATTTTATCTGCTAGAGAAGATATCTTTTCCGACACAAAACTTGAAAACTACAGACGGCGTGTCCTCTTTAAATACGTGAATACGTCCTAACGATGTTTATCTATTTATTAATTTATTTCATCATAAAATACGATACATTCTTTAGAAGTGCTATGCACGTTACATTCTGGCGCAGGCGCAGTACGCTCTGTCGACGTGCTGATAGAAACTACTATCTTTCACAGCCAACATGGAGGCCGTTAATGACGTCAGGGTCACGTGACGTTATCCCTTACACCCGGCCTGGTCCATGTGGAAGTGTGCGGAGTTGTACTCGTGCTCGTTTTGCGTCAGGCACTCCGACACCTTCCGGTCACACTCGCACAGAAACTCGCGACACGACAGCTTCGTCTTGTTCTCGATTACTGTTGGAAAATAAACGCGCGCACAATCAGAGATGGCAGACTTCACCCCAATTACACAGACACCGAGGACACCGAGAGAGGGAGAGAGAGAGAGAGAGAGAGATGCACACACACACACACACACATACATACACACACACACACACACACACACACACACACACACACACACATACACACACACACACACACACACACATTATACACATAACGTTACACAAGTACATAGACGCACACACACCTACATAGCAAGAACGATTCTTTACTCCCTTGGTATAAAGGAAAAAATGCAATAATACAGACTTTACATTCCATTGAATTTCCATACGAGGCATTCCATTAAAAGTTTCTAGATATATAGATATTAGGAACAGTTAGCTCACCACATGATATTTTTCCTTTTTCACATTTGTAGTCGTAGATGCCGAGGTACTCAAAGAACGGGAAACAGTTGTCCTCAGCCGTCCCGTAACATTCGTCATGTACTTTGCAGCATCTTTCAGTAGGAAAATAAAAAATAATCAAATGTAAACATTACGTAGCACAAAATAACGTTTCATCTTTAGTCAAAGCTGAAATTCTCAGTCAATGGTGGAAAAAAATAGCAAATGCATAATTTTTACCTTGGCACGTGGTTTAGCCTAAAAAAACTAATGCTCTGTTATTCTTACTGAAACACATTGATATATATGGTGACCAGCCACTCCAACTCCTGCAACTTGCAATATAATGTAACCCAACACCACCAGGTGTCTTCTACAGCACCAGTTACCATAGTGACAGCCGTCTGGTCAAGGTGATTGATCTTATGTGTTTGGAGAAGAAAATGGGAAACAAAGCAAGAAACAATATATCTCCATTCTGCTAAAGTAAACATAAAGATAATATTTCTGACCACAATGGATAGGCATAACACCGAGACATCGTCTGGAGGGAATGAAAGAGGCTGATACTGGATGCCACCATAGTCCCCGACCCTCAGACATGAGGATGGGACTAGGTAATGTTTTAGTCATCCTCGTCAGAGTTGAAGCATGATATCCTGCTTTTTTCTATTAGCTATACTTGAGATGAGGTAAAGCTGAAGGTAATCCCACTCACTGATCGAGGATGTCCACCGGTTTGCCCTCCCCTCCCGGCCCGCAGTAGCAGCCGTAGTCCGAGTAGTCAAACGACGACTTGTCGGTGATACAGGATAACATCACCATCGTCTGGAAAATGTTCCGTCTGGATCTGCTGAGGGCATGGCTCTCTGTGCCTTCAGACGACACTGTGGACAGGTGACGTTTTTAACTCATTACTGCCGCTGTGTTCTGTAAGTTTTAGTGTCCCAACCTACAGTATCTAGTGTTGTGATGACTATATGTGTTGCCACCACATACATGTATGTGTATGAAGGCATGTCAGTGTATGTATGTATGTATGTGTGTGTGTGTGTGTATGTATGTGTGTATGTATTTATGCATGTATGTATGTATGTATGTATGCATGTATGTATGTATGAATGAATGAATGAATAGCTTTATAATTTAGTTTTGGACTGAGAAAGAAGGTTCTATTGACAACAGCGTTTGCTGCTGATGTCCATGTTTATGATGTAAGTTTATTTTTGCGCTAAGAAAGAAAGTGTGCTAAAGATGGCAATTATCATTCTCTAGAACGTCTATTACAAGCTAGCTCGGCTTGGACAAGGGGAGATTTATGCCATGCCATTGCGTCATACTATACAGATTCGTGGTAGATTGTGTTTTTCGTGTTCTTTGAGTGCTTTCTATGATTCATTCATTCAACACGTAAGCCCGTATTAGAACCCTGGCCGTGTGCTGAAGGAGCGGGATTTGTAACTATGATGCCACACACGCGACAATGGCGTGACCCCAAATCAGTCAACCTGAAACCCAGCGTTGTCTGTCGACCGGATAGAACAACAATATAGTACATACCACAATTATACTCATATCATACCATTCAGTAAGATACTTTTGCACATGATGTTAAATTTTCTTGTTTTACATGAATTTAGCAATTCTATACTGTCTTTTAGACCCCACGTTTGTACCCGTTGTATGAAAAACAACACACATTAATTAAAACATACAAAATTAATGACCCCTGAAATACAGCTAGGATTGGAATCAATCTAAATGATTTGATCGATCCTTGGTGGCCACAAAAGTTCAAGAAACCATACCTATTTAATACTATCAATATACATACATGTTGTAAGTGAAAGTTGTCAGGTGGTCTAAAGATCTAGATTGGCAAACGTAGGCATAGGAGCGACTTTTGTTCAAAGCGAGTTGAACCTTAAATTTATATATCAATTTTTCCCTCCATGGAAACCCTATAAGAACCCTACTTACCTATTACGACAGCCAGACAAATAACTGTTGCTATGACTAAGTTCCTTGTGTTTTCCATGGTGGCATTCTTGAGTCAGGTAGTTACAAACGAAGGGGAATTTTAGTCGCGATCGCCAAAACATATAGCGCCATCTTGAAACACGTAGCCACAGAGTGCCCGAGGGCAGAGAAAAAACAGGTCCGACTACCAGGAACAAGCCAGGTGTATTCAAGCGTACACTGCCTAACCGGCTACACCACTAGCTCCAAAAATACCGGTATCAAACTACGTGATGTGTTTTATCGCCCGATATCACAATCCGGGAGCGGTTATACGATCACCACCTTGAAGTCAAATAGATACCGATACATTCGGGAACAACCCGGAACGCCACGTCACTATAGGTTAAAGGACAGTCTACAAAAGAAAGTCTAGCCTGGCGACCATTCTCTGTGGTTGCCTGTTCACCAGTTCATTCGTTTTCTGGAGCAAAGGATTTGTCTATTTGTAACTCGGAGGCGGGAGTGTAGTTTATGATATAGTAGTGAAAATGTAACGATTTTATCTCCCAACATATGCTTGGAGATAAACGCTTGTGAGATGATTCTAGAATGCGCACTGTACAATGGTATACGTAATGCCTTGTTGCCTTACGGTCAGAAAAGAAATATGTACACCTAAAAAGAACAACATAATGCCATCATGAAAAGTTAATATGATGTAGTGGAATACGCGGTAAATTCGTGTACACATATTTCAAGAAGAGCCAAGCAAATTGAAAGGTAAAGGTAAAGCATAGCATTGCTTCCCTATCACTCTCCTGTAGCTAAATTACTGCATTTTCAATGCAATAAACTCAATTTTCGTTATCATTGAGTGTTAACGTTTATTCTTGCAATCACCTTCCCTTCATCCCTCCCCTAAAAGATAGACACAAAATGAATGCTAACAGCTACAGACTTAAAACTGTATTGCTGTGACGTTTGGAACTGTTAATTACTGCCCCCTCCCGATTTAGTTGGAAATGGCATAAAGCTAAGCAGTATTCCAGAAGAATCTCTCGGGGAACAACATTTAGCCGTGTGTGTGTGTGTGTGTGTGTGTGTGTGTGTGTGTGTGTGTGTGTGTGTGTGTGTGTGTGTGTGTGTGTGTGTGTGTGTGTGTGTGTGTGTGTGTGTGTGTGTGCGTGCGTGCGTGCGTGCGTGCGTGTATGTGTACATATGAGTGCGTGCCTACATTTATTTGTGTTGACATGAGAATACAATGAATACCAAAAGCTTCCAGTTGTTGCGTAACGTTTGAATGTGAAGGTTGGAAATCTTGCATACAGAAATGTGAAGGTTGGAAATCTTGCATGCAGAAATCTGATCTTGACAGGAAGCCAATTATACCGACTCGCGTGGTTCACACCATTAGGTGCTATATCGCCGCCGGGCCTGAAAGGTATTTTGCTTGCCACCATGGGTAATCTCCAAGCAGATTCGGTGGGGCAAGGAGGCTTTATATTGGCCAGTCCTGTATCCATTGGCCGCCTGTATCCAACGTTCGCCTCACGTGGGGCGGCCAATGGATACAAGACTAGCCAATTTCAAGTCCCCTAGCCCCACCGAATCTGCTTGGAGATTAACCATGAGATCAAATGAGCCACACGTCTTCCTGCGTCATTGATACTAAGGAAAATTGGCAAAAAGGCAAAGTAGAATGTTTATGGGCTGACTTTAGATCAACGCCTGGCTGTCAGCATGCCCGAGTTTTTATTGAGTTTGGATCGTGTCCAACAACTTTGGTTGACAACAAGAGAACAGACGAAATCCCAAAGCGCCTGTTCCCGTTGGAATAAAACTGTCCGTATTAAGCTGAATAGACTGACGATCAGGTAGAATGACTGCCGCTATTGCGATTTCTACATTCAATGATCAAAGCCCGTCAACATGTCCGAATTTTACGTTTAATTATGCTTAACTACGTTGGTTAACAAAACACTAGAATGAATCCTGAAAGCTTCCAGTGATCTTTGCTATCGCTGTCTGTCAAGGTTTAAATCCTTGTATATATAGGCTGTCAGCTCTTTACAGAAAGCCTTATGTAATTGCCCAATTATACCGACTCCCGTCCACACTACTGACGCCTCGGGTCTGAAGACGTTTCGTTTCACGTGCTGTCTGGCTCTTGCGTGTTTAACATTCAATGTTCATAACTGTCATCATGCCCTAATTTTGAGTTAGGATCATGGTTAGTATCGTTGGTTAACAAGGGGGTACAGAATGAGTACTGCTTCAAGTGAGCTGTGATATTGTTATAAGAATTGGGATGGCTCTTGGCAAGAAACTTACATAACAGTAGTTACTAGTAATTGTTCAATTACGCCGACTCGTGTCCACATGATTGTCACCGCCGTTCTAAAAAGTGTTTTATCTGTTTGCCGCCTTGATGGTGCCAGAAATGAGTCTTTCTTCTTCACATAAAACCTGATGTCACTTGGCAGACGGTGAAGGCAAAATTGTCTAGCTACGTTAAATTTTGTGGCACACCCCTTATTGTCACGTATTTTACATATATGAGCAGTGCCGCGCGTACACTGTACGTGTGTGTGCACACAGATAGCAATCAGCACCACGGACAGCTCCAGATATGTTTATTTCATTTTGCGTGCATGCGCGATTTCCAACATACAAAACGGTGCTATTTCTGTCTGTAAGACTGGGAGAGTCGTGCAGCAGTAACAGGAATGGTGGAAAGTCTGCCATCTCTGACCGCCATGTTGTCTCTCAGTGGCTCTCTCGGAGGAGTCACGTAGCCGTATGTGTGGTCTGGCTGTTGCGATTTCAACATTCAATGTTCACAGCATGTTAAACGTTGGTTTAGAAGAGAACATAATAAATCCTTAAAAGCTGCTAGGAATGAGCTGCCTGTAAAGGTTAAAATCCTTGCTTAGAAATTAGGCTGTCAGCTCCTTACAGAAAATCTTCCAATTATACCGACTCCGGTACACACTACTGACGCCTTGGCCCTGAAGGTGTTTCAGTTCATTTATTCTTCCTGTCGTGAGCTCAAATTGGCCACACTCCCCAGCTTTTCCACTTCATTGAAACTTAAAGCCACTTGCCAAAGAGGTGAAGGTAGAATGTGTATGGGCACAACTATATTTATATATGAGCAGATTTTTGGCACAACTACATTTATATGTGAGAAGATATTGTGGCACAAGTATTATGTCGACTGCATTTCTATATGAGCAGTGTCCATTATTCCCGACTATTGGGACAGAAATATTAATTCAATTTTGTCAGCTATAATTTCCCTTTCTCAGTGGTGGCGTGAAAATTAGCATCTCTCTAGAGTGCGTCACCACTGTGTCTTTGTCCTGTGTCATGTTGCCTAATAAAGAAAATGTGTGTCTACGTATTCGCAATACACAAATGGTAGTATTTCTGCGAGGACGGGGAAAGTCTGCCATGTCTAGTGCCTTGTTGTTTCTCAGTGGCTCTCTCTGAGGAGTCACATAACCGTACGTGCGGTCTGGCCATCGCGTGTTCAACATTCAATGTACAAAGCCTGACAGGATGCCTGTCTTATGAGTTAGGATCATGTCCAAGCACGTTGGTTGACAAAAGAGGTTACAGAATGAGTACCGACAGCTTCCAGTGAGCTGTGTGATTACTGCATGTAAAGGTTAATAACCTTGCACAGGAATAGGGATGTCCGCTCTCGACAGGAAACTTACATAATTGACTAATCACGCGCCGATTCCCGTTCACACGATCCACGTCGCTCTTCTCAAAGGCATTTATTTGTCGCATGCTGCTTTGATATCCGGTGAGCCACGCGCCTTTCCATTTTATGAAATGTTGAAGGTGGCAGATGGTGAAGGTAGAATTGGCTAGCTACGTCACATTTTGTGGCACACACCTTATTGTCACGTAATGTCACGTAATATACGATTTCCGTGTCAACTATATTTTATATATGAGCAGCGCCTTGTGCACAGTGTGTGTGTACATGGATGGCAATCAGCACCAAGGACAGCTACAGATTCGTTTAATTCATTTTGCGTGCGTGCGCGATTTCCAACATACAAAATGGTGCTATTTCTGTCTGTGAGACTGGGAAAGTCGTGCAGCAGTTACAGGAATGGGGGGAAGTCTGCCATGTCTGACTGCCGTGTTGTCTCTCTGTGGCTCTCTCTGAAGAGTCACATAACCGTACGTGCGGTCTGGCCATCGCGTGTTCAACATTCAATGTACAAAACCTGACAGGATGCCCGTCTTATGAGTTAGGATCATGTCCAAGCACGTTGGTTGACAAAAGAGGTTACAGAACGAGTACCGACAGCTTCCAGTGAGCTGTGTGATGCTGCATGTAAAGGTTGATAACCCTGCATAGGAATAGGGATGTACGCTACTGACAGGAAACTTAGTACATAATTGGTCAATCACGCGCCGATTCGCGCTCACACGATCCACGTCGCTGTTCTCAAAGATGTTTATTTGTCGCATGCCGCTTTGAGATCCGGTGAGCCACGCGCCTTTCCATTTCATGAAATGTTGACGAAGGTGAAGGTAGAATGGGTTAGCCACTTTTTTGGCACAACCCTTACTCTCACGAAATGTACTATTTTCGTGTCAACTACGTTTACATATGAACAGTGCCGATTAGTGGCGGCTATTGGGGCTTTTCCAATATACAAAATGATATTATTTTTGTCTGTGAGACTGGTAGGGTCGCAGCTGGCAGTTACAGGAATGGGGGAAAGTCTGCCATCTCTGACTGCCTTGTTGTCTCTCAGTGGTGTCACGTAGCCGTGTGGTCTGGCTATTTCGTAGGCGTAGTGCTGTGGTGTGCCCACATTCAGGTCCAGGTCCGGATTTCAGGTCCAGAGGTTTAGGTTGTGACTTGTGAATCCGAACCTAGACCCTGGGCATATAGAAAATACGGCGGGGACTTCTCAGTGAACATTTCCCAATGGAAAACGGGGCATCTTTACCGCAAAATTTTGTAGCAAGCACTGCACTACCAGGTTTAGAAGAAAGATATGTTGTTTATGGGACACGTCTGGGCAAAACTGTAGCCACAATTTTGGAGGCCGACACTTGACACTTGACGATGCCTTCATTTTGCAGCGCAAATTTTTCACTATTGAATATTTCAGGTGGTTTAGAACAAAAGGGGTAATAGAATGTGACATGATTGTAAGTCCGGAACTGGTTACAGACTGGTACACAGCACTACGTAGGCGTATTCAATATTCAATATTCAAAACCGTCAGCACTTGAGTTCTCAGTTCGGATCACGTCTACAACGTCGGTCGACAAGAGGACAGAATGAATCCAATCATTATTAGCAAACCTAGGCTAGCCTTTTTTGTAAAAGTTAAAAATAAAGTTGCATTTTAAAGGGATGTCTGCTCTAGCTTGACA